CCTCCCCTCCCACCCCACAGAGTGTCCCCGGGGGTGTCCCCAGCCCGGAGCTCACCCTGGATGCTGACTTTGGTCTCGGGTTCGGTGTCGGGGACGATGTCGGACAGATCGGCCGCCTTCACCCGCTCCTCCTGCACCCCATCTGCGGGGCAGAGCGGGGTCACCCCAAATCCTTCTTGTCCCCAAGCCCTGAGGTAACCCAGGATATTCCTGGACGCTCAAGACCTTCCAGAGCCACTCCAGGATGTCCCTTCTCCCTTGAGATGCCCCAATTCCATGGTGGGGTGTCCCTTGACCCCAAGACGTCCCAGACCCCCAGTGGGACTTCCCTTGACCCCTAAAAATGTCCCAGACCCACAGTGGGGCTTCCCTTATCCCCCAAAATGTCCCAGACCCACAGTGGGGCTTCCCTTGTCCCCCAAGACACCCCAGACCCACAGTGGGACTTCCCTTGACCCCAAAATGTCCCAGACCAACAGTGGGGCTTCTCTGGTCCCTTGAGACACCCCAGACCCACAGTGGGACTTCCCTTGTCCCCCAAGACACCCCAGACCCATAGTGGGACTTCTCTTGTCCCCCAAGATGTCCCAGACCCACAGTGGGGCTTCCCTTGACCCCAAAATGTCCCAGACCCCCAGTGGGACTTCCCTTGACCCCAAAATGTCCCAGACCCACAGTGGGACTTCCTTTGCCCCCAGAAATGTCTCAGACCAACAGTGGGGCTTCCCTTGTCCTCCAAGACACCCCAGACCCACAATGGAGCTTCCCTAGACCCCAAAATGTCCCAGACCCACAGTGGGACTTCTCTTGTCCCCCAAAATGTCCCAGACCCACAGTGGGGCTTCCCTTGACCCCAAAATGTCCCAGACCCACAGTGGGACTTCCCTTTGCCCCCAGAAATGTCTCAGAACAACAGTGGGGCTTCCCTTGTCCCCTAAAATGTCCTAGACCCACAGTGGGGCTTCCCTTGTCCCCCAAGACACCCCAGACCCATAGTGGGACTTCTCTTGTCCCCCAAAATGTCCCAGACCCACAGTGGGACTTCCCTTGACCCCAAAATATCCCAGACCCACAGTGGGACTTCCTTTATCCCCCAAAATGTCCCAGACCCACAGTGGGGCTTCCCTAGACCCCAAAATGTCCCAGACTCACAGTCGAGCTTCCCTAGACCCCAAAATGTCCCAGACCCACAGTGGGGCTTCCCTTGACCCCAAAATATCCCAGACCCACAGTGGGACTTCCCTTGTCTCTCAAATGTCCCAGACCCACAGTGGGGCTTCTCTGGTCCCTCAAGACACCCCAGACCCACAGTGGGACTTCCCTTGTCCCCCAGGATGCCCCAAACTCGCCCTCGGGGTCACATCCTCCATCCCCCAGGACATCCCACCCCCCCAGGGGTCCGTCCCCTTGTCCCGGGGGTCCCTCCCTGGTTGGGACCCCCCTGTAGGTTCGAGGGCCCCCCCGATCACTCACTGACTCCCTTGTTCTGCGGGTCCAGCTCGATGATCTTCACCGTCTTCTCCAGCCTCATCCCCTCGGGCTGCCCGGGACGGATCCAAAAAACCATCAGTGGGGCTGGTTTTGGGGTCCCCCCTTCCCAGCCCCTCTGGGTTGTCCAGGAAAGGTGTCCCAGTACGAGCCAGCACCCCCAGGGTGTGTGGCAAACCGGTTTAGGGTGTCCCCTGTCCCTCAACATGTCTCAGAGACCTCCCAAGGTTTAGGGGATCCCTCGAGCCCCAGGGAGTCCTCCCAAGGTTTAGGGGATCCCTTGAATGTCTTGGAGTCTTCCCAAGGTTTCGGGGATCCCTCAAGCCCCAAGGAGTCTTCCCAAGGTTTAGGGGATCCCTCAAGCCCCAAGGAGTCCTCCCAAGGTTTAGGGGATCCCTCAAGTCCCAAGGAGTCCTCCCAAGATTTTGGGGGTCCCTTGAATGTCTTGGAGTCCTCCCAAGGTTTAGGGGATTCCTCAACACCCAAGGACTCTTCCCAAGGTTTAGGGGATCCCTTGAATGCCTTGGAGTCTTCCCAAGGTTTAGGGGATCCCTTGAACGTCTTGGAGTCCTCCCAAGGTTTAGGGGATCCCTCAAGCCCCAAGGAGTCCTCCCAAGGTTTAGGGGATCCCTTGAATGTCTTGGAGTCCTCCCAAGGTTTAGGGGATCCCTCGAGCCCCAGGGAGTCCTCCCAAGGTTTAGGGGATTCCTCAATACCCAAGGAGTCCTCCCAAGGTTTAGAAGACCCCTCAAGCCCCAAGAAGTCCTCCCAAGGTCCGGCACCTCCCCAGGAGGACAATCCTCCTCCCCTGGTTGCCAACTCCGGCCCAGGGGTGGCCACGGCGACGTCCCTGTGCTTTGGGGACACCCGAGGGGCGTCCCTGGTGCCCCGAGGGGCCACTCACCACTACCTGGGGGCCACTCACCCCTGAGGGCCACTCACCACCACCCAGGGGCCACTCACCACTACCTGGGGGCCACTCACCCCTGAGGGCCACTCACCACCACCCGGGGGCCACTCACCACCACCTGGGGGGCACTCAAACCCCTCGGAGGGTCACTCACCACCACCCAGGGGCCACTTCACCACCACCAGGGGCCACTCCACACTTACCCGCGAGGGCCACTTGCCAACCCCCCAGGGCACTCACCACCACCCGGGGCCACTCATCCATCACCTGAGGCCACTCACCACACCCGGCGGCCACTACCACCACCCAGGGGGCCACTTCACCACCCCCCGAGGGGCCACTACACCACCCCCTGAGGCCACCTCCACCATCACCCAGGGCCACTCACCATCACCAGGGCCACTCACCACCACCCAGGAGCCACTCACCACCACCCGCAGCTTCTTCTTGACGCCGTCGCCCGCGAACAGGTCCCTGACGGCCGCCTTGACCTCGACGTCGTGCAGCCCCAGCTGGAGGGGCACGAGCACGAAGGACACGGTGCGGGAGGACTCGGCCTTGATCCGCAGGATCTGCTGGAAGCGCTGCTTGGCCGTGGAGGGGCCGCACATGGCGGGTTGTGAACCAAGGCTCCACCCGCACCCTGGGGGGACAGGGAAGGCGACATGGGGGGGCACAGGGGGCACAGGAGGCACGGGGGGGCGGCACAGAAGGGGGCACAGGGGGGGCACAGGGTCATGGAATGCCCGGAGGTGGAAGGGACCCCCGAGGATCGTCCGGTCCGACCCTGCCCAGGACACCCCAAGATCCCACCAAGTGCCGGAGGGCCTCGTCCAAACATTCCCTGAGCTCCAAAATCTTGGGATATCCTCATTTAGAAGGGACCCCCGAGGATCGTCCAGTCCGACCCTGCCCAGGACACCCCAAAACCCCACCAAGTGCCTCGTCCAAACGTTCCCTGAGCTCTAAAATCCTGGGATATCCTGGTTTAGGAGGGACCCACGAGGATCCCAAAATCCCACCATGGCCCTGAGAGCCTCGTCCAAACATTCCCTGAGCTCCAAAATCTTGGGATATCCTCAGTTGGAAGGGACCCCAGAGGATCGTCCAGTCCAACCCTGCCCAGGACACCCCAAGATCCCACCAAGTGCCTCAGAGCCTCATCCAAACATTCCCTGAGCTCCAAAATCTTGGGATATCCTGGTTTAGAAGGGAGCCCCGAGGATAATCCAGTCCAGCCGTGCCCAGGACGCCCCAAAACCCCACCAAGTGCTTGAGGGCATCGTCCAAACATTCCCTGAGCTCCAAAATCTTGGAATATCCTCAGCTGGAAGGGAGTCCCAAGGATTCCAAAACCCTACCAAGTGCCCGAGGGCCTCGTCTAAATATTCCCTGAGCTCTAAAATCCTGGGATATCCTGGTTTAGGAGGGACCCACGAGGATCCCAAAATCCCACCATGGCCCTGAGAGCCTCATCCAAACATTCCCTGAGCTCCCAAATCATGGGATATCCTCAGCTGGAAGGGAACCCCCAGGATCCCAAAATCCAACCATGGCCCTGAGAGCCTCATCCAAACATTCCCTGAGCTCCAAAATCATGGGATATCCTCAGCTGGAAGGGACCCCCAAGGATCCCAAAATCCCACCACGGCCCCGAGACCCTGGTCCAAACATTCCCTGAGCTTCCAAAACCTTGGGATATCCCAATTTAGAGAGCACCCCCCTCCTCGTGGCCTCCT